TGTGTGTGTGTGTGTGTGTGTGTGTGTGTGTGTGTGAGAGTGTGAGTGTGTGTGAGAGTGTGTTTGTAATCCTCCGGCATCAACTGCGGAACTCAGTTGAAAATGAAAGTAAGTTGATAAACTTAAATGTTTTATTAAGGAATATGTGATACATTAATGATTGTTTGTACTGATGTGTCTGGATGGGCTGATGGGAAAAACTCATGATGTTCAGATGTGAATGAGTGAGTCTCTAAGATTCTTTATACACTCACACACACACACTCACACACACTCACACTCACTCACACACACTCACACGCACACACACACACACACACACACACAGCCGTGTCTCAATCCTCTTAAAGCACATCAGATGTAATTGGGTTTTAATCCAGTGTGAACATGTTTTATTAATGTGAGCGGCTCATGTTTGTCTCTCATGCGTGTGATCTGCAGATAAGCTGAGGAGGAGTATGCCGGACCTGCTGGTGTGTGCGGCTCTGAGTCCAGCGCTGTCGTCAGGGTCCATGAGGAGCAGCCAGAGCTTTGACTCGTCCGGTGCTCTGACGCGTCTCCAGAGCTGCAGTACGTCTCCAGCGCATCAATCTGATCAATATACCCTCAAATATGGCACTGTTTGAAGGGACAGACATTTTAAGTCATTTTATTGGCAAGTAAATGCATCTTGATTCAAGAATGTTTAGATACTTATATTAGAAAAGACAAAGACAAAAATACTAAGCAAGAAAATCATTTTTTGCAGTGTGAAGGTTTTTACAGAGGGGTTTGTTCATATATAATTTGCCTGGTTCTATACAACATTTTGTTTCTAAAAAAAAAAGCAAAAATTATTTTGTTTTCTGGCGTGATTTTTTTATGATAAAAAGAGATATCCAAAATCCCCTCTGTAAAACCTTTGAGTCTAATATTTCAATAAAATGAAACAAGAATTTTGAACCTGGCTTCATCCAATGTTGAGCAAATTAGCGCATATTTAATTAGATAACCGCTCATTTGCATATTTTAACATAGCACTTCAGAAAACATTTAGTAGAAAAAATTTTTTAATTCTTAATGAAATCAATGATCTGTGTTGAGTATGGTGATATCTGTTAGTTAATTTTTTACTTTTTTCACCTGCAGTGTCTCGCCTTAATAATATTATTATATAATAATATAATAACCTCGCCATATTAATTTCCATGACAGAGTTCAAGATAAATCCTTTAATCTTATTCAAGGTTAATCTATATTTACAACAAAAATCTATTTATGACATATTAAAAGACTAATTACTTTCACCCCAAATACTAATTAGTTGTAATTTTACATTTTCAAAAGTTGCCACTATCCTAGCTTTTGCCCATTTGTCCGTAAGAAGTTTTTACTCATTTAAAACACAATCAAATTTAATATGCTCACTTATTCTTTTATATATTTTAATATGCACACGTCAGAATAAGCATGTTGTTTGAATTTTTACATAAATATTGCATTACACTGAATGACAATGTAACATTATTTCAACCAAATTGTAACATTTTCTCCAAAAACATATTTAAAAGTAGACACTTTACTTACATTTAATGTGCTTTCTATAAACTTTTGTAAATTTCTTTTGATGCAGATATCTTAACGTCCTTAACCCATGCACATCTTGCCGTTTCCATCCAGCGTTTTTTATACGATATCCCCAAATGTGCATAAAAATAGATGGATGGAGACATAGCTAGTGTCCGCATTCACTCACTCACTCGTTTTCATTCCCTCCTTCAAGTGAGCTGTACTAGTGGCCTGATGTAGGGAATAGTGACTGAGGGTACAGTGTTGTGTGTTTCTCTGAGCAGTTCCTGCTCCGGCGCAGCTGCAGAGCCGTGTTCAGAGCGTGGGGAGCTTCTCGTCCCGTCAGCCGCTCAAAGCCACAGCGTACGTCAGTCCCACCGTCAAGGGCTCGTCTCTCATGAGCTCCTCGGTCAGTTTACAGAGTCTGTCGGTCAGCGGGGTCCCTAAAGCGGCGGCGGCGTCACGCAGCGGTCTGCCTCGGCCCTCGTCCTTCATCAGCACCGGCTCCGGCCCTCGAGCCAAACTCACCGCTCCGCTGCGCAGGTAAACGCTTCAATTCCTCGAAACTGCTTTCATATTCAGACTCATTCGGATTAAAACCTAAAATAAGAAGGTCATGAAAACTTCAGGGTGAGATGCTGAAGAGTTTAGATCTGCTGAGCGAAAAGCAGCGGATCGAGCGAGTAAAGCATCATTTTAGGATGAAGCTCAACAACCATATTACACTGCCGCTCACAGGTTTGAGATCAGTACCATTTTTAGTGTTTATTAAAGTGATTATTCTTCTGGCTGCATATATTTGATTAAAAATATAGAAACAAATGTAATATTATTCTAATGTAAAACAGCTGTTTTCTATGTGAATCTGTGTTAAACTGTAATGTATTTCTGTGATGCGCAGCTGTATTTTCAGCATCATTCCTCCAGTCTTCAGTGTCACATGATCTTCAGAAATCAGTATAATATGCTGATTTATTATTAATGTTGGAAACTGTTGCTGCTTAATATTTTTTTGGAACCGGTGATACTTTTTTCAGGATTCTCTGATGAATAACAAGTTAAAAAGAACAGCATTTATTCAAAATAGAAATCTTTTGTAACAATATACACTACCGTGTATATGGTGTCAGTAAATTTTTTTTTTAAAGAAATGAATACTTTTATTCAGGAAGGATGTGTTGAATTGATACAAAGGGATAGCAAAGACTTTTTTAATTCTTAATGAAATCAATGATCTGTGTTGAGTATGGTGATATCTGTTAGTTAATTTTTTACTTTTTTCACCTGCAGTGTCTCGCCTTAATAATATTATTATATAATAATATAATAACCTCGCCATATTAATTTCCATGACAGAGTTCAAGATAAATCCTTTAATCTTATTCAAGGTTAATCTATATTTACAACAAAAATCTATTTATGACATATTAAAAGACTAATTACTTTCACCCCAAATACTAATTAGTTGTAATTTTACATTTTCAAAAGTTGCCACTATCCTAGCTTTTGCCCATTTGTCCGTAAGAAGTTTTTACTCATTTAAAACACAATCAAATTTAATATGCTCACTTATTCTTTTATATATTTTAATATGCACACGTCAGAATAAGCATGTTGTTTGAATTTTTACATAAATATTGCATTACACTGAATGACAATGTAACATTATTTCAACCAAATTGTAACATTTTCTCCAAAAACATATTTAAAAGTAGACACTTTACTTACATTTAATGTGCTTTCTATAAACTTTTGTAAATTTCTTTTGATGCAGATATCTTAACGTCCTTAACCCATGCACATCTTGCCGTTTCCATCCAGCGTTTTTTATACGATATCCCCAAATGTGCATAAAAATAGATGGATGGAGACATAGCTAGTGTCCGCATTCACTCACTCACTCGTTTTCATTCCCTCCTTCAAGTGAGCTGTACTAGTGGCCTGATGTAGGGAATAGTGACTGAGGGTACAGTGTTGTGTGTTTCTCTGAGCAGTTCCTGCTCCGGCGCAGCTGCAGAGCCGTGTTCAGAGCGTGGGGAGCTTCTCGTCCCGTCAGCCGCTCAAAGCCACAGCGTACGTCAGTCCCACCGTCAAGGGCTCGTCTCTCATGAGCTCCTCGGTCAGTTTACAGAGTCTGTCGGTCAGCGGGGTCCCTAAAGCGGCGGCGGCGTCACGCAGCGGTCTGCCTCGGCCCTCGTCCTTCATCAGCACCGGCTCCGGCCCTCGAGCCAAACTCACCGCTCCGCTGCGCAGGTAAACGCTTCAATTCCTCGAAACTGCTTTCATATTCAGACTCATTCGGATTAAAACCTAAAATAAGAAGGTCATGAAAACTTCAGGGTGAGATGCTGAAGAGTTTAGATCTGCTGAGCGAAAAGCAGCGGATCGAGCGAGTAAAGCATCATTTTAGGATGAAGCTCAACAACCATATTACACTGCCGCTCACAGGTTTGAGATCAGTACCATTTTTAGTGTTTATTAAAGTGATTATTCTTCTGGCTGCATATATTTGATTAAAAATATAGAAACAAATGTAATATTATTCTAATGTAAAACAGCTGTTTTCTATGTGAATCTGTGTTAAACTGTAATGTATTTCTGTGATGCGCAGCTGTATTTTCAGCATCATTCCTCCAGTCTTCAGTGTCACATGATCTTCAGAAATCAGTCTAATATGCTGATTTATTATTAATGTTGGAAACTGTTGCTGCTTAATATTTTTTTGGAACCGGTGATACTTTTTTCAGGATTCTCTGATGAATAACAAGTTAAAAAGAACAGCATTTATTCAAAATAGAAATCTTTTGTAACAATATACACTACCGTGTATATGGTGTCAGTAAATTTTTTTTTTAAAGAAATGAATACTTTTATTCAGGAAGGATGTGTTGAATTGATACAAAGGGATAGCAAAGACTTATATTGTTAGAAAAGATTTCTATTTTGGATAAATGCTGTTCTTTTTAACTTTTTATTCATCAATAAATCCTGAAAAAAGTATCAGTTTTTGCTGCTATTTTGGAACCTGTTTCCAACATTTCAGATAATAAATCAGCATATTAAAATGATTTCTGAAGGATCATGTGACACTGAAGATGTTCTGATATCAACCAATCATCACAGAGATGAAAATTACGTGATATCAGTTTGCCCTGCCCAGATTTAAAAAGTAACGTAACGCATTACATTAGGCAAACGTAACTAAGTAACGTAATTAGTTACCTTTTTAGGGAGTAACGCAACATTGTAACACATTACTTTTAAAAGTAAGTTTCCCCAGCAGCACTGTTTGTTGCTGTATAATGCTTTATTGTGAGGAGTTATTGGTTGTGGTGATTGCTGTAGTTTGCTGCCGCCGCCGAAGAGCCTGGCGACGCTGAGCGCGCTGAGGGATGGGAGCTGGCGCGACGGCTGTTACTGACGCTCTGAGACGGGTCCGGAGCATCCCGCTGGCCCGGGCCGCTCGCTTTCTCACCAAGTGCTCTTGAGGAGGCTTCCAGAGCAAACACAGCTCTGTATGCAAACGCACCGAGGATCTGAGTGATCGCACATGCTGCTAAATCAGGGGCCCCTCGTCCCTGCACTGAAGCAATCGCGCTTAAACTAAACCACTTGAAACGGTTTGTACGGTTGTTTGAAGTTGGAATACACTCTTATTAAAAATAAAGGTGCTTTAAAGGTTGTTCACAGCGATGCCACAGAAAAGAACCATTTCTGGTTCCACAACCAACCATTCAGTCAAAGAAGCATCTCTTTCTGAGCTTTTTAGAATCTGAAGAACCTTCTTTCGCCACAGAGAAGCTTTTGTGAAACAGATTCGGATTCTTTATGGAACCATTTAGACAAAAAAAAAAGTTCTTCTAATGCATCGTGAAGCACCTTTATTTTGAAGTGTGTGATTCAATTTTTATGATTTCAAAAGTTTGAACCAAAATTAAACAGGTTTTTAACTATTTACAGGAACGCAAGAGTTTAACGTGCATATGTTTATATGATTAATAGTGCTTTTTACCTTATACACTACCTTAAACGGACCAATTATTGCAGCATTTGTAAACGTATTTGACTTGAATGAAGTTTTGATTATAATTGTTCTTGACGTTGCACTTTCATGTTTATTTAATCGTTGATTATTTCTTCGTTCTGTCTGGAATCAGGAGGATTTTCAGAGGCACTGTAGATGTAGCACTGTATTGATTTATTTAAAAGTTACCTTCTCATCTTGTTTTCTTAATTCATTGTGTAAAAGATATTTAAAAGAGTGTTCTTCATGTTTGCACATTGTTTCTGTAAATGCACCACAGTTTTCTGTATGACTGATATTTTAATATGTGTGTCTGTATTTAAAATCCAAATGAAGTTTTTTATGATTGTGTGCTGCTGATATTTTTATGTCTGTTCTGGGAATCCAAAACATTAGACTCTGCTTTACTCGTATAGTCATTAAAAGTAACGCACCTTATGTAATCAGATTTCCTTTTTCAAGTAACGAGTATTTACCAGCAGTTACTTAGTTTCCATGTGTTGAGTGACAGCTCTGGTGTTGCCATGGAGACAGAAATCAGGAGTCAGTGCAGAGCGTTGTGTGTGAACATGATCTTACTGTAGTTCTAGACTCAATATCAACATGTGTTTACTCATCTCACTGCACACAAACACATTCAGTGCTCCTCACAATCAATATGGGACTATTAACCACTACTAATCAAGTGTTGTTTCAGTATAATTTTAATGTTTTTAATTTGTTTTCATTTGATTTCTAAACATTTCATGTGTTTCTGTCATTTTTCACAGTTTTTGTTTTCAGCTAGCTTTTAATATTTAATTGTAGTTTTTTTGAAGTAAACTGTACAGTAAATAAAAACATATATATATTAATTCTAATGGAGAAAATAGCTCATTAAAATTGTATAAATATTGCATAGCATCATAAAATTCCCTCAAAATCATAAATAGTCATAAAAATATATTACTGAACAAAAATATATTACATTGATTTTCCTGAAGAAAAAAAAAAAGTTACATTTCAAGGCTTCAAAGGAGGCAAGTGTGACTTCTGTCCAAGTGTTCTCTGCCTTTCATGACGCAGTCGTCCTTTGAGGTGTGGCCACGCCCACCAGTGTCACATCGCATCAACCAAAACGAGTTCATCATTTAGAGAAATAGTGTCTCTTTAATTAAGAGCCGTTTATTAAATAGCCCACTTGACCTGCATTCACCCTAACATGATTAATGATGAACCCTAACTTTAAATCTGAGTTGGGAAAATTGATAAATTTGAAAAAAATGTGCCTTCCCATACCGGGAGTCGAACCCGGGCCGCCTGGGTGAAAACCAGGAATCCTAACCGCTAGACCATATGGGAGCCTGTCGCGCCCGCGGCCCGAGGGCCTCTTATAGCTACAGCACAGGTATAGTCACTTATAGCTCACGAAATGTGATTGTGAGATACTGTTTTATAGGTTTTCCATGTTGTTGATAATTATCTTTTACGCTTGTATTTTTCAGTCTTGTTTTAGTCGAGCATTTCCTGCGTCGAGGTTCGTCGCGCCGTCAGTGACGTCATTTTGAGGCGCCAGCAGTGAGCGTGTAGATTTCAGTAAAACATCTACGAACCTTCATGGGATTTGAAGTTTCCATCCTTCAACATGTTAGTAATCACGAGCATTTAAAAAAAAAAATTATAATAAGACATTTAAAGAACTCGCGCGGTCGGGGCTCTTCGTTATCGCACTGTGATTATAATAAAGCATCTTTGTGTGTTTGTGATCAAGGACTGAATACTGGAAGTCTCAGCCGAAGAAGTTCTGTCAGTACTGCAAATGCTGGATCGCGGACAATAAACCCGTGAGTGACTCCAGAGCTATATACCCGGATGTTTCATCAATACTCGATCTGAATATCTGAGTGCATGTTCATAACCAGCATGTGTTTTCGCAGAGCGTCGAGTTCCACGAGAGAGGGAAGAATCACAAAGAAAATGTTGCGGCCAAAATCGCAGAGGTAATGCAAGAAGCTCTGCTGTGCTCAGAACACAACACTAGTGTAGTGCACACTGCGTGCTGCATACTGCATACTGGACTCACTGTGCACATGCATGCATGAAATACTCTGATGGCCTTCTAGATTTGGCCAAACGTGCAGCACAGAACAGCTCTGAATGCAGTGGACTAGACCTTCCACTTCCAGTGTCACTGAATGAAGAAGAACAATCACCTTTTTTAATTAAGTCACCCGTGACATCAGAATAGACTATTCCAAAAAGAAGGGAATCTGTGAATAGTATAAATTATTTGTCTGTGCACATCATTATTTTGTAAAAACACATCTGCTCTTGTAATGAATGGAGAAGCTGCTTTGCTCTGATAGACCCACGTCACAATTGCATAAGTAAGAACATTTCAATCGCAGCCTCTTTAATCAGCCGGACAGCAATGTTTTTCCACAAAATTTCATTTAAAAGGGAAAAAAATAACTATTTTTGTATGATAATAGCTGGATTCCACTCGCACACAATATGATGACTTCATGTGACAATAAAGCAGCAAAATGCATTTCATATTATTCCGTGTGTATGGCACCGTATCCGAACAGTGGACAGAGTCATGTGTTTCATGAGCCATCATCTCAGAAATACAATTTAGCATTTTTTATTTCAGTTGAATGTTCTTCAAACTGTTTGATTTGAGCTCCTGCTCATTCATTCATTGCAGATGGAAGCTCCAGAAGCTCTTTGCATTATCTTACCAAGACATATTATTGGAGGATTACAGTAACCACTGATATTTAGATCATTTAATATCAGTATCTGCTCTACTGTTATAAAGATCTCATTGATTTACATTACAAGCAGCATAATTTCATCATATAATAAATATCAACATCTGCAGCTTCTGTTTTTTCCTCCATATTCTCACTGTGTCAGACTAGATGAGCCATGATGGATCAAGTATGATACAAAACAAAAAAATCATATAAATGTTCAATATTCTCTTCTATTTCAGAACATTAGATTTTCCAGACTGTTATTTCATGTGTCAGGCTTTTCTTTCTAAACCTGTTTGTCTCATCCTGAGCAGAATCCAGCTGGGAGAAACCGGAGGATTTCAGTGCAGAGGAAGTTGCTCCTCCTGGTGTTGATTCTCCTCGTGAGGAGGCACGAGCAGCAGAAGATCCGTCTCCTCCACACACACACACACTCTCTCTCTCTCTCTCTCTCTCTCTCTCTCTCACACACACACAGACACACACACACAATGGAGTTCTCTGTCTCTCAGGTTCAGTCTCGCTAGAATCGGCTGTTGTTTGTCTCCTCAGTCTCACTTCATCTCGGCGCTGACGGTGGTGTTCGTGAACTCGAAGTCTCTGTCGTCCCTGAAGATCGACGACACACCGGTGGACGACCCGTCGCTCAAAGTGCTGGTGGCCAACAACAGCGACACGCTGAAGCTGCTGAAGATGAGCAGCTGCCCGCACGTGTCTCCTGCAGGTCAGAGCCAACATCCATGAGATTCAAACACAAAATAACTTTCATGGCATGTTTCACACGGAATGAATAAAAAAGTGAAGAATATTTGATATTCAAATAATGCGTCTCTAAAAGGGCTGTCACGATTCCTCGATTCAGTTCAAGTACTCGTTTTTAAAAAATCCTTGATACTTCAGGATCATTTCGCCCATCCCTAGTCAGTGTGTTCGGTGAGTGAAAATATATCTGTGCTAAACTTATACTGAGCCTCCAACTCACATACTGGCGAATTATATTCTAATTTACAATGCATAATTTTAGTTAGGGTGAAGAAAAGCTTTTGGCTTCTCTCCTGAGGCCACAAGAGGGCGCATCGACCAATGCACGTTTTTTCAAAGCATATAAAATAACATGACTATCTGTGTAAAAAGTGCATAATGTTTATAAACCAATTATAATTAATTAAGTTGTTTAAACGACTATAAACAAAACAGCATCATGTATGTATGCATAGTTTAATACAAAGGACCGAAAGCCAATCACACGGAGTACATTTTTCATTTAAAAACACGAGTTGCAGCGGCGTGGGAAAAAAAACGCCAAAAAGTCTTGAGATATGTTTTTTTCAAAGTTGAACTTGCATTAATATTACATTGCTTTCTAAACATGCGGCTCTTTTGTGCGAGACGCGAGTGCAACGCTGATAGATGTCCCTCTAGAAAATGCGCATCGATGTTCTCTTTTCCTGCAATATTAGTAATTAACAACGCAGCAGCGCCGCATCTAGTGGCTTCAACTGGATAGGCTAACAAAAACATTCAAATGCAACGACACTTACATCGTCATCGCATCTCGTGCGCCGCTGATAAGGCTGCGTTCTTAACGCACACTTAAAATTGAAATGCAACGTTTTTTAATTCAAATTTTACAATTTTAAATTTTACGAATATTCGAAATTCGAATCATTTTTGTCAGCCCTAGTCCTGATGGTGTGCTTTATAAATAATTTTGGCTCTGCTGTTTTAATGCTGACATTTGTATCCGATGCTATTAAAACAATCAGTTTTTAGGGCAGCTAATGTGCCTAATCAACACTCAGAGTGATTGTGGAAGTTGAATGCTTGAGCAGTGTGTGATGTGAGTTATCAGAGCTGTGCTTTAGCAAGAGCACTAGTCTGACTAACGGCGTGTGTTTGTGCCACAGGTATCCTGTGCGTGGCGGATCAGTGTCACGGTCTGCGTGAGCTAGCGCTCAACTACCACCTGCTGAGCGACGAGCTGCTGCTAGCGCTGTCGTCAGAGCGTCACGTTCACCTGGAGCACCTGCGCATCGACGTGGTGAGCGAGAACCCGGGCCAGCAGTTCCACTCCATCAAGAAGAGCAGCTGGGATGCCATGGTGCGCCACTCGCCCAAGTTCAACCTGGTCATGTACTTCTTCCTGTACGAGGACGAGTTCGGGCCCTTCTTCCGCGACGAGGTGCCCGTCACGCACCTGTACTTCGGCCGCTCCGTCAGTAAAGAGGTTCTGGGCCGCGTGGGGCTGACCTGTCCTCGGCTGGTGGAGCTGGTGGTGTGTGCTAACGGCCTGAGACCCCTGGACGAGGAGCTGATCCGGATCGCAGAGCGCTGCAGACAGCTGTCGGCCATCGGCCTGGGCGAGTGTGAGGTGTCCTGCAGCGCCTTCGTGGAGTTCGTCAAGATGTGCGGCGGCCGGCTCACGCAGCTCTCCATCATGGAGGAGGTTCTGGTGCCTGACAGCAAGTACGGGCCGGACGACATCCACTGGGAGGTGTCCAAACACCTGGGCCGCGTCTGGTTCCCCGACATGATGCCCACCTGGTAGAATCACATTTTGTGCTTTTCTACATTTGGAATGAGAAGCAATGAAGCGTTCACAGATGCACTTCAGACACTCGCCGTGTGTTTTCTACACTCTAGTCGCCGTGACAGACACGTGTGCTGGCCACAATCATTAGAACACTAGTATTGTGATAGTTATTTCTATATTTTGCTGTGTAGGAAATATCAGTTTGCATTTCCAGTTGGCCATTAACTGTAATAATGCAGTGAGATGTTAGTGCTGCACACAGAGCTCTGATCTGATCTTCATCAGTCTGTCTGGAGTCACATGAAGAAACAGAACAAACTGAGACCGACTCAATCCAGAAGAACTGATGCTTCAAGAAACCTCCTGCAAAGCTACAGTGCTGTTAACAGTTTGAGGCACTTGTGTAAAAATGCTGTGAAATGAGGATGCTGTCAAAAATAGATTTTCTTTATCAGTTAACTTCTATTAACTGAATGAAACCAACATTTGGTGTGAGCATCTTTGTGTTTAAAGCAGCGTTTGTCCTCGGTGCACTTGAGCAGAGTTTCTCAGGAGCTTCGCAGGAGGTTTCTTGAAGCATCAGTTCTTCTGGATTGAGTCTGTCTCAGTTTGTTCTGTTTCTTCATGTGACTCCAGACAGACTGATGAAGATCAGATCAGAGCTCTGTGTGCAGCACTAACATCTCACTGCATTATTACAGTTAATGGCCAAAATGATATTTCCTACACAGCAAAGTCACAATACTAGTGTTCTAATGATTGTGGCCAGCACTGTGTAAATGTACGTGTGGTTTTCTCTCGTTTGTTCTTGTTTCATGTCGCGTGGTTCGGCGTCTGATGAAGGCCAGACCTGGATTTCAAGCAGTTTAACCAGATGAGGTTTCAGCTCGAGGCAGATCGGATCATGTATTTGCTCGTTCATTCCAGATGGAAATTAATTCAGAAGCGCTCGTGACTCATTCTAACTAGGGCTGCACCATAACCGACTCGAAAATATAATCACAATTATTATTTTACGGTCAACTTTTTTTTTATTTCATCAGAATTATTATATTATTATTTATAGTATAACATCAGAATGATTATAATAATGTAATTGTTATATTATTATAGAGTACTCTCACATAACCACAAATCAAGAGAACATTGATTCAGTCGCAGCAAACAACAGACCGGCTCAATAGAGATCACTAAATGACAGCGTACGCGATTGCTTGATAATGAACGCTTGTGACGCTCATTACTAGCGGTCGTCTGACGCTGGGTTTCTGACAGCTGATATCTTAGAGAGCAGGGTGGCTGATACAAAGCCGGTATATATCATTTTTATTTATTTTAAATCATATTTAAGAAATTTGAAATAATCTGATAAATATGGAAAATAAGTAGTGCTGTCAAATGATTAATCTCAACCAAAATAAGTTTTTGTTTACATAATATATGTGTGCGCACTGTATTTTTATGTATATATAAAAACACACACATACAGTATATATTTGGAAAATATTTACATGTATATATTTATATTCATATATATATTTAATATATAAACAACGTATTTTTCTTAAATATATACATGCATGTGTTTGTATTTATATATACATAATATACACGGCACATATTATGTAAACAAACTTTTATTTTGGATGTGATTAATCGTTTGAATCACTAAAAATAAACATACTTATACTTTAGATGACAACTGCTTGATTCTGTAATCCTATAACAGCATTTTTCACAAATAAAGAAATGTTTAAAAATATATAAATAAGGAAGTAAACACTGTAAGCAACAGAGCACTCAGTATCTGGGGAGTTTGTGTGCTTCGGGAATCATGTCGTTTCCAACTGAAGCCAAGGTCGAACTCATTTTACGTGCAGCACACAATGAAAACGACAGGAATATGATCGTAGGCAAATAGTTTGAAATCATGAGTTTAAAGTGTGTGAAGCTGTGTGACTTCTATCTGTATTAGACAGAACTGTTAAACGACGACAGCAAACGATGAAGAGGGAGAACGTGAGCGCTGTGTGCTGTTCTCAGCGCCGTCGAAATAAAAGTCTCAAACATTATCGGCCAAACAGAAACTCTTATCGGCCGATGCAGATATTTGAAAAATGCCAAATATCGGCCGATATATCGGTCAACCACTGCACACATATGCCTAATTAGAAGAAAGCATTTTCAGGATAAATAACCAAATATTGCACCGTTATGCTTAATATATCAAGAGAAGCAGAAATTGTGGTCATGATTAAAACGTGATTTATCATGCAGCGGGTTGGAGTAATAGTGGATTTCTCAGTCACAGTTTCGTCCGTCGTCCGGTTTTTCAGAAAGAAGTCTGTCGACATTCCCAGATTTCACCATTTTCTGGCCGATGGTGGCAAATAGTTTGAAATCATGAGTTTAAAGTGTGTGAAGCTGTGTGACTTCTATCTGTATTAGACAGAACTGTTAAACGACGACAGCAAACGATGAAGAGGGAGAACGTGAGCGCTGTGTGCTGTTCTCAGCGCCGTCGAAATAAAAGTCTCAAACATTATCGGCCGATATATCGGTCAACCACTGCACACATATGCCTAATTAGAAGAAAGCATTTTCAGGATAAATAACCAAATATTGCACCGTTATGCTTAATATATCAAGAGAAGCAGAAATTGTGGTCATGATTAAAACGTGATTTATCATGCAGCGGGTTGGTTCGACTGGAGTAATAGTGGATTTCTCAGTCACAGTTTCGTCCGTCGTCCGGTTTTCCAGAAAGAAGTCTGTCGACATTTCCAGATTTCACCATTTTCTGGCCGATGGCGAAGATGCCGTCCGCTCTTGTTTTACGGTTTTAATGGCAGGCGGTTGGGAAATCAGTTTGTACAGTTTGCGTGTTTTTGTGCATAATTAGTTTGATCAAGCAGTATATTACAGACATGGACGCAGATCCCATTCAGATAATTTCCCTGCACTTTATATAGAAATGTATTTTTAGAAATGTACATATGAGATGATCAGTTGTGTCAATATTCCTCCTGATGATTAATATTATTATATTATTTTCATTGCAGTAAAAGAATAGTGATATAAGCTTGCCATGAAGCGTCATATTGTACTTTCAGGCGTTTAATCGCTCGGCTTGATGGTTTTTATGTATTTGACTGCATAGAACTTTATCCATAAAGAGAAAAACCAATGTAGTGTAAATGTTTTTGTTGTTGTTTTGGAATAAACTTTTGTGAATGTAAGAGCTGCTTCAGTTTGTGTTATCGGATGTTTCATTGGCACTGGAGTAAATCCACAATTCAGTATTCTGGAAATGTAGAGAATTGCACCTGCTGTTTCTCAAAATGAATTTGTGTCTCTTTTCGTTCTTGACTTCCTGCTGAATGATGATGCGTTTCCTCTCCGTCACTGACGGACTGAATCCTGTCCTTAAAAACAGTCCTAAAATTCAGTCTTCGAAACGTCAAATATTGCTTGGGTCATATTTGGTTTAAAATGGATGCAAACATCGACAGACGAAACCATTCTTTATATAAAAACAATTGTACAAATGAAAATGTGGTTATACTCACAAAGTCTAGTCAAATAAACAAATTCATTTACAGTTCAAAAAGATGAGTTTAATGATAAAACCTGTTCAGTAATCAGCACTGTGATTGGTTGATTTCAGACGTCATGTGACTGCGCACCGTCAGTCATCAGAGGTGATGCACAGAATAAACAAACTCAATATCCAGCTGCTCCAAATACATATTCTGACTGTACGAGCAAACGAGATTCATTCATTATCTTCAGATTATTTAGGCTGATTGATGTGGAATATGGGAGACAAACGGACTCGTGGAACTGAAGAGTGTTGTGTTTGAGAAGCAGTACTCGACTGTCCCAGATGTGTCAGAATGAAGGCAAACGCTGCTGATTTCACACAATAGTTTGCATTTAACCAACTAGGAAACTAGGCTACAAGAAAAACTACTTCTTATGCAGAGTTGGGAAGGTTACTTTGGAAATGTGTCAGGTTACAGATTACAAGTTACCCTATTTAAAATGTAACAAGTAGTGTAACTATTTCAAATACTTTATTACAGTAATGTAACAGGTTACTTTTCGTGTGTGTGTGTGTGTGGTGTGTGTGTGTGTGAGTGAGTGTGTGTGTGTGTGTGAAAGTGAGTGTGTGTGAGTGAGTGCGCGAGAGAGGGTGTGTTCCAGAAGATGCTGAACTTCGGTCCAGCTGTTTATGATCAACAACATTAACCAACCCATGACTGGTGATCGTCATTCCTCCAAAGCTCAGCTGTGATGAGGAGCAGATCTCCAGGATGAAGAAACCGACTGATATGATGCAGATGATCTCAGAGCCATCAGACATAAAGTCACAAAATACAAGTGTGATTTCATGGGGGTTTAAATTCTGCTCAGCCGCTCATTAGCTGCCAGAGTCACATGAGAGTGAGATTATTAACATCAATGTGTACAGTTAAAGAGCACAAGACAAACTAGCAGCTCCTTTTTGTGAATATAATGTGTCCCTGCAGCACAAAAGCAGTGTTGAGTCGCTGGGGGATATTTGTAGCAATAGCCAACAATACATTGTATGGGTCACAATTATACATTTCTCTTTTATGCCAGAAATCATTAGGATATTAAGTAAAGATCATGTTCCATGAAGATATTTAGTAAATCTCCTACCGTAAATATATCACAACTTAATGTTTGATTAGTAATATGCATTGCTAAGAACTTCATTTGAACAACTTTAAAGATGATTTTCTCAATATTTAGATTTTTTTGCACCCTCAGATTCCAGATTTTCAAATATTGTTCTATCCTAACAAACCATACATCAATGGAAAGATTATTTATTCAGCTTTCAGATGATGCATAAATCTCAATTTCACAAAATTGACCCTCATGACTGGTTTTGTGCTCCAGGGGCACACACACACACACACACACACACACACACACATATAAAGCTGCTTGAATGAGCAAACCCTATCGGTTTTTATTGCATCTCTATAAACTGTACAATATGTCTGCGCTTGCTATGAATCTGTGGCTCAGTGATGGATGTGATGAATCAGGATCATAAAACGATGCTCTGTCTGCGAGCCCACTCTTATTCAACGAGAATCTTCCATGTTCAATCTATTGCCCTCCTGCAGCATTTATTCAGAAAGAAAATTCACGGATCCTGAGGAAAAAAATCGCAGAAGCTCTGACGTCATCGCACGGTCAACCAGCACGCGCAGCGACGCCGGTCTGCCATTGGCCGCTGGACGGGAGAACGGGATTTCTCTGGGCAGATTAGGAAACTGAGCGCCGTGGGCTCGAAGGCGCGCCCTTCCGCCGACATCTTGGCTCAAGCGGTCCGATGAGCCTCAGCGGAAACATCCGGGGAATCGCGCGCACCTCGGCGGCCATTGCGGCTCGGCGTGCGGCAGCTTCATAACCTTGAGAGGGCGGAGCGTCAGCGCGCTGGACGGGAGCAGCAGCGGAGCGGGAGGAGAGACGCCGAGGCGACGGAGAGCTGCAGAAACCGTTACACGGCAGCGCTGCTGTACCTCACCGCTCTAACGGGAGATCAGGGCGTGTACCGGCGCGTCTAACGGACAATGATGAGCGCGGTCGGACGGGAACCCGAGCGGCGGCGGCGGCGTTGAGCGCGTTTTTGATGTCTGAGGCGGATCGGCGGGATCTCTAGCGTTTGGGCGCACCAGCGCGTTTTTTTTCTCGGTTGCTCGCGTCACATTGACATTTATTATTTGAAGCGGCAGAATCCCGGAGCGTTGATTTTCCCTGACATCATCATCATCATCATCATCATCGTCGTCGTCGTCGCTCGGTGTGAACGGACAGCTTCGGTGGTCGTCGACGGGAATCCGGGGGATTGACAGGATCCCGGTGTCGCCGCTCGGATCTGTCGGCGGGAGTAACGGTAACGGTAACGCTATGGCTGACGACGACGTGCTGTTCGAGGATGTGTACGAGCTCTGCGAGGTGATCGGGAAGTGAGTGATCCAATCTCATCAATCATTTCACCGCTGAGGCGTTTTCCTCCGGCGCTCTTTGTCTCGTGTGTTGACATTTTACTGCTTCAGGTTCAGCTGACCGAGTGTGTGTGTGTGTGAGCGAGAGAGTGTGTGTGTGGGAGAAAGACAGAGAGCGTGTGTGTGTGTGTGAGCGAGAGAGTGTGTGTGTGGGAGAAAGACAGAGAGCGTGTGTGTGTGTGTGAGCGAGAGAGTGTGTGTGTGGGAGAAAGACAGAGAGCGTGTGTGTGTGTGTGAGCGAGAGAGTGTGTGTGTGGGAGAAAGACAGAGAGCGTGTGTGTGTGTGTGAGCGAGAGAGTGTGTGTGTGGGAGAAAGACAGAGAGCGTGTGTGTGTGTGTGAGCGAGAGAGTGTGTGTGTGGGAGAAAGACAGAGAGCGTGTGTGTGTGTGTGAGCGAGAGAGTGTGTGTGTGGGAGAAAGACAGAGAGCGTGTGTGTGTGTGTGAGCGAGAGAGTGTGTGTGTGGGAGAAAGACAGAGAGCGTGTGTGTGTGTGTGAGCGAGAGAGTGTGTGTGTGGGAGAAAGACAGAGAGCGTGTGTGTGTGTGTGAGCGAGAGAGTGTGTGTGTGGGAGAAAGACAGAGAGCGTGTGTGTGTGTGTGAGCGAGAGAGTGTGTGTGTGGGAGAAAGACAGAGAGCGTGTGTGTGTGTGTGAGCGAGAGAGTGTGTGTGTGGGAGAAAGACAGAGAGCGTGTGTGTGTGTGTGAGCGAGAGAGTGTGTGTGTGGGAGAAAGACAGAGAGCGTGTGTGTGTGTGTGAGCGAGAGAGTGTGTGTGTGGGAGAAAGACAGAGAGCGTGTGTGTGTGTGTGAGCGAGAGAGTGTGTGTGTGGGAGAAAGACAGAGAGCGTGTGTGTGTGTGTGAGCGAGAGAGTGTGTGTGTGGGAGAAAGACAGAGAGCGTGTGTGTGTGTGTGAGCGAGAGAGTGTGTGTGTGGGAGAAAGACAGAGAGCGTGTGTGTGTGTGTGAGCGAGAGAGTGTGTGTGTGGGAGAAAGACAGAGAGCGTGTGTGTGTGTGTGAGCGAGAGAGTGTGTGTGTGGGAGAAAGACAGAGAGCGTGTGTGTGTGTGTGAGCGAGAGAGTGTGTGTGTGGGAGAAAGACAGAGAGCGTGTGTGTGTGTGTGAGCGAGAGAGTGTGTGTGTGGGAGAAAGACAGAGAGCGTGTGTGTGTGTGTGAGCGAGAGAGTGTGTGTGTGGGAGAAAGACAGAGAGCGTGTGTGTGTGTGTGAGCGAGAGAGTGTGTGTGTGGGAGAAAGACAGAGAGCGTGTGTGTGTGTGTGAGCGAGAGAGTGTGTGTGTGGGAGAAAGACAGAGAGCGTGTGTGTGTGTGTGAGCGAGAGAGTGTGTGTGTGGGAGAAAGACAGAGAGCGTGTGTGTGTGTGTGAGCGAGAGAGTGTGTGTGTGGGAGAAAGACAGAGAGCGTGTGTGTGTGTGTGAGCGAGAGAGTGTGTGTGTGGGAGAAAGACAGAGAGCGTGTGTGTGTGTGTGAGCGAGAGAGTGTGTGTGTGGGAGAAAGACAGAGAGCGTGTGTGTGTGTGTGAGCGAGAGAGTGTGTGTGTGGGAGAAAGACAGAGAGCGTGTGTGTGTGTGTGAGCGAGAGAGTGTGTGTGTGGGAGAAAGACAGAGAGCGTGTGTGTGTGTGTGAGCGAGAGAGTGTGTGTGTGGGAGAAAGACAGAGAGCGTGTGTGTGTGTGTGAGCGAGAGAGTGTGTGTGTGGGAGAAAGACAGAGAGCGTGTGTGTGTGTGTGAGCGAGAGAGTGTGTGTGTGGGAGAAAGACAGAGAGCGTGTGTGTGTGTGTGAGCGAGAGAGTGTGTGTGTGGGAGAAAGACAGAGAGCGTGTGTGTGTGTGTGAGCGAGAGAGTGTGTGTGTGGGAGAAAGACAGAGAGCGTGTGTGTGTGTGTGAGCGAGAGAGTGTGTGTGTGGGAGAAAGACAGAGAGCGTGTGTGTGTGTGTGAGCGAGAGAGTGTGTGTGTGGGAGAAAGACAGAGAGCGTGTGTGTGTGTGTGAGCGAGAGAGTGTGTGTGTGGGAGAAAGACAGAGAGCGTGTGTGTGTGTGTGAGCGAGAGAGTGTGTGTGTGGGAGAAAGACAGAGAGCGTGTGTGTGTGTGTGAGCGAGAGAGTGTGTGTGTGGGAGAAAGACAGAGAGCGTGTGTGTGTGTGTGAGCGAGAGAGTGTGTGTGTGGGAGAAAGACAGAGAGCGTGTGTGTGTGTGTGAGCGAGAGAGTGTGTGTGTGGGAGAAAGACAGAGAGCGTGTGTGTGTGTGTGAGCGAGAGAGTGTGTGTGTGGGAGAAAGACAGAGAGCGTGTGTGTGTGTGTGAGCGAGAGAGTGTGTGTGTGGGAGAAAGACAGAGAGCGTGTGTGTGTGTGTGAGCGAGAGAGTGTGTGTGTGGGAGAAAGACAGAGAGCGTGTGTGTGTGTGTGAGCGAGAGAGTGTGTGTGTGGGAGAAAGACAGAGAGCGTGTGTGTGTGTGTGAGCGAGAGAGTGTGTGTGTGGGAGAAAGACAGAGAGCGTGTGTGTGTGTGTGAGCGAGAGAGTGTGTGTGTGGGAGAAAGACAGAGAGCGTGTGTGTGTGTGTGAGCGAGAGAGTGTGTGTGTGGGAGAAAGACAGAGAGCGTGTGTGTGTGTGTGAGCGAGAGAGTGTGTGTGTGGGAGAAAGACAGAGAGCGTGTGTGTGTGTGTGAGCGAGAGAGTGTGTGTGTGGGAGAAAGACAGAGAGCGTGTGTGTGTGTGTGAGCGAGAGAGTGTGTGTGTGGGAGAAAGACAGAGAGCGTGTGTGTGTGTGTGAGCGAGAGAGTGTGTGTGTGGGAGAAAGACAGAGAGCGTGTGTGTGTGTGTGAGCGAGAGAGTGTGTGTGTGGGAGAAAGACAGAGAGCGTGTGTGTGTGTGTGAGCGAGAGAGTGTGTGTGTGGGAGAAAGACAGAGAGCGTGTGTGTGTGTGTGAGCGAGAGAGTGTGTGTGTGGGAGAAAGACAGAGAGCGTGTGTGTGTGTGTGAGCGAGAGAGTGTGTGTGTGGGAGAAAGACAGAGAGCGTGTGTGTGTGTGTGAGCGAGAGAGTGTGTGTGTGGGAGAAAGACAGAGAGCGTGTGTGTGTGTGTGAGCGAGAGAGTGTGTGTGTGGGAGAAAGACAGAGAGCGTGTGTGTGTGTGTGAGCGAGAGAGTGTGTGTGTGGGAGAAAGACAGAGAGCGTGTGTGTGTGTGTGAGCGAGAGAGTGTGTGTGTGGGAGAAAGACAGAGAGCGTGTGTGTGTGTGTGAGCGAGAGAGTGTGTGTGTGGGAGAAAGACAGAGAGCGTGTGTGTGTGTGTGAGCGAGAGAGTGTGTGTGTGGGAGAAAGACAGAGAGCGTGTGTGTGTGTGTGAGCGAGAGAGTGTGTGTGTGGGAGAAAGACAGAGAGCGTGTGTGTGTGTGTGAGCGAGAGAGTGTGTGTGTGGGAGAAAGACAGAGAGCGTGTGTGTGTGTGTGAGCGAGAGAGTGTGTGTGTGGGAGAAAGACAGAGAGCGTGTGTGTGTGTGTGAGCGAGAGAGTGTGTGTGTGGGAGAAAGACAGAGAGCGTGTGTGTGTGTGTGAGCGAGAGAGTGTGTGTGTGGGAGAAAGACAGAGAGCGTGTGTGTGTGTGTGAGCGAGAGAGTGTGTGTGTGGGAGAAAGACAGAGAGCGTGTGTGTGTGTGTGAGCGAGAGAGTGTGTGTGTGGGAGAAAGACAGAGAGCGTGTGTGTGTGTGTGAGCGAGAGAGTGTGTGTGTGGGAGAAAGACAGAGAGCGTGTGTGTGTGTGTGAGCGAGAGAGTGTGTGTGTGGGAGAAAGACAGAGAGCGTGTGTGTGTGTGTGAGCGAGAGAGTGTGTGTGTGGGAGAAAGACAGAGAGCGTGTGTGTGTGTGTGAGCGAGAGAGTGTGTGTGTGGGAGAAAGACAGAGAGCGTGTGTGTGTGTGTGAGCGAGAGAGTGTGTGTGTGGGAGAAAGACAGAGAGCGTGTGTGTGTGTGTGAGCGAGAGAGTGTGTGTGTGGGAGAAAGACAGAGAGCGTGTGTGTGTGTGTGAGCGAGAGAGTGTGTGTGTGAGTGCGAGAGTGTGTGAGTGTGAGAGAGTGCGTGTGTGTGTGAGAGAGGGAGTGTGTGTGTGAGTGTGAGAGTGCGTGTGTGTGAGTGTGAGAGTGCGTGTGTGTGTGAGAGAGAGTGTGTCTGTGACAGTGTGTGTGTGTGTGTGTGAGTGAGTGAGTGTGTGTGTGTGTGTGTGTGAGTGAGTGTGTGTGTGTGTGTGAGAGAGAGAGTGTGTGTGTGTGTGTGTGTGAGTGAGTGTGTGTGTGTGTGTGAGAGAGAGAGTGTGTGTGTGTGTGTGTGTGAGTGAGTGTGTGTGTGTGTGTGAGAGAGAGAGTGTGTGTGTGTGTGTGTGTGAGTGAGTGTGTGTGTGTGTGTGAGAGAGAGAGTGTGTGTGTGTGTGTGTGTGAGTGAGTGTGAGAGAGTGTGAGTGTGAGAGAGTGCGTGTGTGTGAGAGAGTGCGTGTGTGTGAGTGTGAGAGAGTGCGTGTGTGTGAGTGTGAGAGTGCGTGTGTGTGAGAGATAGTGTGTGTGTGTGATTTGACACTAATATTCATTGATCAGTCACTCTTCATACTCTCTGTGATTTGTGGTTTTCACCTCAGTCTCATGTGAGGAGGGCTCGTCTTGTAAAGGTAAAATGTGCCATTTTTCTCTTGGTTACTGGGCAGATTTGATGTAATAATTAAACGATTTTTCATTGATTAGAATGAATCTGGCTGATGGAGAACGTGCAGCAGGCCTGTGTGTGTGTGATGTACTGCTGTTTATTAGACACTGAAGTTGGATTGTAGATTTCTGGTAATTAGTTTAGTCTATTATTACATTCAAATGAATGGATTTGTGTCGATTGTGTGAGTTCATCTGCTGTCTGACAGTCATGTGTGGGTCACATTCCTGACTCTGCAGCACAAAAGCAGTGTTAAGTCGCTG